TGTCAATAGAGGGCGAACTGGATGTAGTACGAGCTTCTGCCGCTAGGGGGTGCGGCCTACATTCATAGTGAATCAGTGTGCGAGCCGGCATCATCGAATTAGCATTTGTTTCTTAGTTACGGGCGTTTTGGTAAATTGAAAATTCAGCTAAAGGGAAGGAGATTTGAGACGATAGAAGAGATTCAGGCAGAATCGCAGATGGTGCTTGACAGGCTGACAAAGAAAGATTTCCAGGGATGCTTCCAGGCTTGGTTGCGGCGCTGGGATCGTTGTGTTCACTCCCAGGGGAACTACTTCGAGGGTGATAGATGAATTTAATACCTGAGATAAGTGTACGGGTTATTATAGGCGCGGTCTTGAAACTTTCCGATCGCACCTCGTACATATGTCACCGTTTTAATTTGAAATATCCTCCTACTACCCCTCACGCAAAAAAGTTTGCGACCCTGTCTCAGAGCACAGGACTGCCGTGTGACGTCACAGCCAACGCAGAAGATGTGTAATGAAGGTACACTGGTCGTGGAAATGTTTTGATCCTTGGTGAAATGGAAAATTGTGAGCCAAAATTGGCTCTAAGCACCAAACTGCAAACCGGATTTTAAATAACTGTTGTAACTTCGCTGAAATGTACCGAATACATGTCTCTGTCTCCGAGGTAGTGATCAGATGTTCTAGGAACGTTTCACACGAATCGAGTCAGTTGAAACAATAAGCCACGTGTTTATGGGCAATTTCGGCTCATATTAAACGAAGATGGCTGTTTTCTGGGTTGTGGCGTCGTATAGTCTCTCATCACCGTGTTGATGGAGGCAGCAAGGACCTCTTAAACGTTGATAAACTTCTATCAGTTTACATGGCGCTACAACAGCCGTCAGAACCTCAAATCTGACCATGTCGAACAAGTTCCAAAGATGCATATCAGGACAATTTTAACATATCACAGACATTCATACAGAACTACAATTTTTCCAGTTTATCCTTAAAAATTCCCTTGCGACATTACAATGAATTTAAATGTACACCGGACTTTTAGTAACTTTTTGTGCATCTACAACTCAAGACATTTCTCTGCAAGAAATCTGCCAGTTGTACCAACACATTTAACTTGTGCTGCGCTGCTGTCTATTGGAAATTATAATTAATTAAATTAGAATCTCTCTCGCATTGCAGTAATCATATTCCGACTGGTACCTGTTCATATACGTTCTTGGCAGATGATCCAGAAGTGGTTTGCCATTGCCTTCTTCTGTGTGTGCATGGAGTAATTGTTGGGATGCCACGGAGAAACCGGGGAAGCCCCCGGAGGAAAACTCCGTGTTGCCTAGACCACGGCCTTGCCCAACACAAGTTATAAATTCGGGCACCACCGAGAATCGAACCCGGGACCCCAGGATTACAAGGCCAGCGGTCTAACCGCTAGACCACCGTGGCGGTTCTTTACCTGGTACGGCAATGTTTTTTTCATGACTGCATCAACATAATGCCACCGAATTCAAAACATAATTGTTGTAACTTTAGATTTACAATAAAAATAAATAATATCGAACATATCTCCAGAAGAAGAAATATGATTAATTAATAATTGGTCTGCTTGAAATATCAGTTTCCTCTACTGAGACCGTTCAAAGCTACATTTATCTACCTCTGGAAACAACACAAGCAGAACATAATATAATTGGCGTAGGATACAATTTTGTAACAGAGTAAATGAAAGAAAACTTTATTTACTCTGTTCCTTCATCTTACGACGGAGAAAAGACTTTTAACATGTACCACGTCATAACCCGACATCATACAGGGGTGTCCAACTAGTACACACCACTCACAAATATCAACTTACGATATATTCTTCATAAATAGGAAAAATACAATAACTCACTCTCTATCAGGAGAGCCAAAAGGCTGAATATAACTACAAATCCCTCCACTCGGCATCGTTTTGAGTCACTCACACCCTCACAACCTGATCCAATATAATATTATACAATTTCCTTCTTGGTCTTCCAGATGGTTACAATAAAATTGCCATCAAAATTCTATTTAAATTTCTAGTCCCCCATTCGAGCTAGATGGCTAGCCCATCGTAAATACCCTGTTTGTATCACATTTACAACACTAGGTTTTTGTGTTTAGATGAAGAATTCGCTGAATTACCTTTAACCTTCTTAGCTCCGGTTAAAAGCACTCTTTTGAGTACATTATTTTAAAACACTCGTAGCTTATGACGTCACTTGAAAATTAGAGACCACGTTTCAGAACATTACTAGCAAACTGTATTTCTTTTATTTCATATAATTCTAACTTCAATGTTCCCTGACTACACGGGATTGTATCAAGCTTTTAAATTAATATTATATATATATTCAAAATGTATTATCTGAATAGAAATATACATCCATACATACTGTTTATTTTAGATGTTCCCTTGTGTTCAAATATTTAAAACTTTTTAAAATCATTACTATAATCCTGTGTAATTGTATTATGATTTTTCTTCAGATTTCTATTTCGTGATTTGATCATATATATTTATTTATTTATAAACAAATTTCTCTACTATTCCTGTCCTATATATAAATTTCTGCTTTATTTTATGGTATTTACTCACCTAGAAAATTATCATAATTACATATATGTACTTTAAGTACGTAATTTAGATGCATATTTGCCTGCTCCATTTGTATTTTTTTATATATATATATTTAGGAGCAAAACTGGAAGGCAATGCAGATGATTTAATCGCCCTATTTTAGCCCACTGATAATTAGCAATGCGTAAGATGACCTGTCTACATGCATAAGTATTATTTAAAAATACCAGTCATTATTACTTGATAAGCGTGTTCGATATTCCGAATTAAATTGCATATTTAAATTAATGAATCTGAATCTGAAACGTAGGCTTTCTTAAAATCCGTAAACATATTTTTACATTTGTCGAATGGAAATTTTAATCAGTAGACTCCTTATTTGGATAGGTTCCACTCTGATAGTCACTAAAGAATTTATTCACAAATGGTGTTAACAATGATTGAAGAATTTATAACATTTTTTATTAAGTCACATCAGAAACTAG